TTTATTAGGGGTTTAGGCTTTAGGAACTTTCGGGTTTTAGGTTTAGGGTTTTTTTTTGATGGCTGACGGTCTGGCTCGATATGATTATTGCAACATCCGCGCGTTGTCGCAACGAAAACTTCAGTTCACAAGTAAAGTCTACTACGATTGCACCCTCCCCTAAACCCTAAACCCTAATTATCACTCTGTTGTTACTGTCATTATGTCTGCACTGCAGCATTGGCTTTCCCCGCCTGCGGATTCCATCAGCTTTTTGTGGTTTCTCTGCCTCTTGTTCTCGAGTTTTGATGGTGCATGAAACCATAAACGCTAAACCCTAAACCCTAAACCCCGAAAGCCTAAACGCTAAACCCTAAACCCTAAACCTAAACAGTATAGCCCGAAAGCCTAAACGCTAAATGCATGCTGAATGGGGAGGCAGACAAAGCCAAAAAGAGCAACGAAGACGAGGGCGGAGAGGCTCGGCGCCAGGAAAACAAAGCCGTACCATGAGAAGATCTAAGCGTTTGAGGTTTAGGGTTTAGGGTTTAGGGTTTAGGATTTGGGGAGCAAAACTGGATCAGTAGACTGTGGGGCTCAGCATGTAGAATGGAGGCTCAAGTCGCACCTGGAATGTACTTAGGCTGAAAGCTTCAGTGACCTGAAGGCTTGTGTGTTGGCCAACATGCCCTAAACCCTAAACCCGAAACCCTAAACCCTAAACCCTAAACCCTAAACCCTAAACTCTCGAGGGGGGCTAAACCTTGATTCCTGAAGCCCAAAGCCTCATCCTTGGACCGTCAGCCTTCGACCTTGAGCCCTGACTCTACCGGGGTTTAGGAGGTTTAGGGGGTTTAGGGGGTTTAGGGTTTAGGGTTTAGGGTTTTGGGTTTAGGGTTTAGGGTCGGGGGTTCTATGACGGCTTGTATTAGGGCTCTGACTGCCACGGAAATCCCAACTCCATCGAGCCAGATATCGGGGCGATATAGGGGCCTAAATAATTACCTATACTGTTTTGGGGGTTCCTTATTATTATGATAATTGATTATAGTATACTATACCCCAAAACCCTGCTCTTATTAATTAATAAGGCCCCTAAACCCTAAACCCTTATAGTAGCCCTTATAGAGCCCTTTAAGGATCCCTTTAAAAGGAACCCTATTCTAACCCTTTAAGGATCCCTTTAACGGAACCCTATTTTGGCCCTTTAAGGGATTCTAACCTTTAAGGATAAAGGAACCCTATTCTAACCCTTTAAGGATCCCTTCAAAGGAACACTATTCTAACTCTTCAAGGAGAAAGGAACCCTATTCTAGAAATCAAGGCCTCTAACATTACAGAACTTGCCAGTAGAGACGCTCTTGCCAAGCGGTGGCTTGGAGAGCCTGGCCCCTTGCGCACGCAAAAAAGCTTCAAAGCTAAATGAAAGGTTAAGGGTTTATGGTTTAGGGTTTAGGGTGTGGGGTTTAGGGTTTAGGGTTTGTGGTTTAGGGTTTAGGGTTTGGGGTTTAGGGTTTGGGGTTTAGGGTTTAGGCTGGCCATCGTTGTTCGTGGGGTGTGGCACGGCAAGGTCATGCGCAGGGGTTCAGGGTTTAGGGGCGTTTTGGGCCTGGTGTTGACATGTTGCACCTGGAACACCGGGGGCCACTATGTTTGAGCTGCCTTATTCGTAGGCTTGGTGCCTTGGTAAAATATATGTCTACAATAGGTTTTGGGATGTATTTTTTGCTGCACTTATATTGGGACTACAAGGGATTGCGATTACTAGTTCTTCGGGCTTCTGGTATTTTCGCATGTGGGATCCTTAGTTTATTAGCTTTTTCATGCTGCCCATAAAGGCATGGTGCAGTTTTCTCAACCCCCCAACAACCGTATTCAAGACAGTAGCTAGAGCTCCATGAAAGCAGTTACTTGGCCTGTGCAGCCCTGTATAGACACAAGTCTGAAACCCCAGGCTCTACTCTACACCCAGCCCTAAACCCCTAAACCCTAAACCCTAAACCCTAAACTTAAATCCTCAGAAACCTCAGGCTCTACACCTCGCGGCATTTTTTCAAGGTCCCTATGCTCTAGTTGGGGCCCTATAGTCATCTAAAGGTTTAGGTAGTATAGACGCCAAAATAATTACCTACTCTATTTTGGGGTTCCTTATTATAAGTATAATATAATATATCCCAAAACCCTATTCTAATTACTAAGGCCCTTACATTACGATTATTTTGGGATTTGGGGATGTAGGATTCCGGCAGTAAGATTCGCCGGGGTGACTCGAAAAGTATATTCGTACAGCCTCCGAATAGAGACCCCAAGTCAGGATGACTGTTGGGTCCAGTGTGTGGGATTCGATGGTGTCCAAACCTCCCCGATGCACAGGACAAAGAGGCAGAGGAGAAGGAAGACAAAGAGCGCGGAGACCCAGATCACTGCTGAGTACGTCTTACACACCCTTCTTGAATTCGGTTTGCTGTTCTTCATGCTTTGTCCTCGTACTGTGACTGCTGTGGCTGTTGCTGCCGCTGTTGCCGCTGCTGATCAATTTACTGGTACGTGTGCAAAGAGTGATTGCAGCAGTGGTAGACGAAGCGGCAACAACGAGAACAGCAGCAGCAGCAGCAACACAGCAACAACGGCAACAGCAGCAACGGCAGCAGCAGCAGCCACGGAGGCGACGGCGGCAGCAGCAGCAGCAGCAGCAGCAGCAGCAGCAGCAGCAGCAGCAGCAGCAGCAGCAGCAGCAGCAGCAGCAGCAAGCACTACCACTACTGCACCCCGCTAGCGCCACAGCAACCGCAACCGGAACCACGACTACAACCACAACCACAACCGCAGCCACAGCCACAACTGCAACCAGAATCACAAACCGGCACTCACTCTGCGCATTGCCTTGAGTTCCTGGCCTTGTCCTATAGAGTGCAGGTCAGGACGAAGGATGCGTGGACTCACTACTGGCCACTGTGCTTGCGTCCAGTTCGAGGATCCACTGTGCGCTTCGGCGTCCGTGCCGGCACTGGGGAGCGCATGGATGCTTTGCATGGATAGCCGTACCCATCCATCCTTCCATCCATCCGCAACCATAAACAACAACAGTCTCAACCCCAACCAGAACCACAAACCACAACCTAATTCACGACCACAACCATGCGACCGATCACCATATTGACTGCTCATTACCGTATCGCCACGTCCTGTTTGACCCGTCAACAAGATGTTCGAGATTTGATCGCGGCACAGGTCCCTGAGTGCGTACACGGTGGCTTGCAACACCGGGCAGCTACCGATGCGTTGGCCAGCATGGATGCTGGTTGGACTTCGGCACCACGCGCATGTCTGGTCACGCTGGACATGAAGCAGGCGTTGAATCGAATGGTTCCTGCCTTGCCTATTGCAAATCTTCGACACCAAGGATTCGATCCTGCCGGGGCTTCCCTCTTGTCTTGGGTGTGATGAAGCAGGGCAAGTGAGCCCTCTTCTGATTAGAACATGCGTCTCAGCTTCCGGGCAAACCCGAGAGAGCTCTGTAACAGAGAGAGTCCACCATCAGCCACGGTGGCTGTCATCCTCTACTCAACTTTACTCCGACGGTTTCTGCTGCTGCGATCCTTTTCGTCGGAGCATCTTGTTACCTGAGCTGTAAAGCTCTTTGCCGTCGTCAAAACCCTAAACCGTATGCTTTACCCTAAACCCTAAACCCTAAACCCCAAACCCTGAACCCTGAACCCTAAATCTTAAACCTGCAACCCTGGACTCCTGCACCTTACATGAGGCATCGTCCTCGCAGTGGTGGCATGCTTAGGGGTGTAGGGTGCAGGGCTTGGGCTTTGTGGTTCTGGCTTTCCCTAAGCCCTAAACCCTAGATTTGGGCATTTCGGGCGAACTTCAAGCCGCCAAGCAATCACAAGGCCTCCTCCACCGGGCAATGGTGGCAAGACTGCCGTGACCTCAAGGGGAGCCAAGCCGTCCGGGCTTGAGGGCGTTAAAGACTTACTAAGCCCTCAGTCCAAAATCCATAAATCCTGTCACCCTAACCCCTAAACCCTAAATCCTAAACACTAAACCCTCAGTCCAAAATCCATAAATCCTGTCACCCTAACCCCTAAACCCTAAATCCTAATCACTCCTGTCACCCTAACAACCCCTAAACCCTAAATCCTAAACACTAAACCCTCAGTCCTAAATCCTTAAATCCTGTCCAGGGGGGATCCTGAATCTTAAACCCCATGCATCTCCACGCCTTGCGATCCTCATCCCCATCCTTTTTAGGGTTCTGTGTGGCTGCGGATTCAGAGTCTTGGGTTGATCCTTGGGGTGTCTAGGCTGATTCAGGGTCGCTAGGGTTTCGGGTCTTTGGGGCTTATGGTGTTTGGGGTTTCGGATTTAGGGATTTAGGGTGAAGTCAAAGCCAAGGTTCACAATCGCCAAGTCCCGATCGCGCTTTTGGAATTCATCCTTCTGCTACAGGGACCTGAACAACCATAGCATAGTTCCTTAGGGCCCAAACTGCAACTAGTAAGGGCTCCATGGGAACCTCACCTCAGCCCCAAACCCGAAACCCTGAAACCCTGAAGCCCTAAACCGCAAATGGTCTAGGATGTCTGGTTCGCTCTGCTGATCTTGTAGGGCCGCGGGTCGCCCTAAGCCTTCATACAGAAGCCTGACAAGTTGTTAATACCACTCCTGAGAGTTCCTTCTTCTAAGTCTCCGATAGAATAGGGTTTAGGGTTTAGGGTTCGGGGTTTAGGATTTAGGGTTTAGGGTTTAGGGTTTAGTATACCCCAGAAATCACCGTTCTATTTCTGGAGGCCCGCCCATAGATTAAATCCTCAACCCCCAGGTGGTGCAGGTAGTCTGGCTTGCATGGCTTCGCGCTGTTGCGCCTAATGGGTGTCCGAACTGCCCGTCTTCCGACTGTCAACCTGCAGAAAGACGACTAAACTGCTAAACCCTAAACCCCTAGACCCTAAACCCTAAACCCTAAACCCTAAACCCTAAACCCTAAACCCTAAACCCTAAACCCTAAACCCTGACAGGTTTACCACTAGACCCCCCCCTAAACCCTACACTCTCCCAGGTTTACTATCCGAACATGCTGTTCTAAGGAGCTACACAATAACGGTCTGGCTTACATCCAACCGTTTAAATGCTAAAACTCAGCCTTTACTTCAAATCATGGTAAGAAGCCCTTTGCAGTTTAAGGTATAGATTGCTAATCAACCATATGAAACCGTAAACCTTCAACCCTAAACCCTAAACCCTAGACCCCAAACCCTAAACCCTCAACCCCAAACCCTAAACCCTAAACCCTAACCAAAGCCCGGCAGGAATGGAAGTTAAGGGCCTAAACCTCACGGCGGGTTTGCGGTCGAGGGTTTAGGTTTTAGGGTTTAGGATGGTAAAGTCTCACCCTAAACCCTAAACCCCAAAACCCCTAAAGTCTAGGCTTCAGGGCCCAGGTCTTCTAGGGTTCAAGGCTTCAAGGCTTAGGATTTCAGATTTGGGGGTTCAGGGTTTAGGGTTTAGGGTCTAGGGTTTAGGGTTTAGGGTCAGGGTTTAGTCTAAACCCTAAACCCTAAACCCTAAACCCCTAAACCCCTAAACCCATAAACCCCTAAACCCTAACCCCTAAACCCATAAACCCCTAAACCCTAGACTCGAACCCTAAACCCTAGACTCTAACCCTAA